TATTCCAGCCTGAAAACACTGTATTTGCAAGAGAAGCAGATCAGGGACTGAGGCAAGTAGACCCCCAACAGCACCTCCTTTGTTCTTGCTACAAACTGAAGAATCAATTGCATCACCTGCACAGGAAGGCAGAGAGGGGGTGGGGATGTATTTTGAGAAGCAGCCTCTTAGTTCTACAGAAGGTTCAGGTTGATTTGACAGATTTATTTTAAACTTTATCTGGAAAAATTAAAGCATAAGGTCCTACATCTTCTAGCTAAAGAGTAATAAAGGGAGCATTTGCCTTACTACAAAGTAAAGCATACTAGAAAGTTAGTGTTAAAACAGGTAGAAGATGCATAGAAACTTATCCTAGGAGAGACGTGGGTATTGGCGCTTAGAGACGAGAGAAAAGAAAAGAGACAAAACAGGAGGTGTTGGTAAGCCCTGATTACGTGTGCCATGCTGAAGAATTGTCTCATTTTTCAAGCTAATGAAGGAATTTAAATGTGAGAGTGATGTGGTTAAGATGGCATTTGGGAAAATCCCCTAAACCCCAGTGAGATTAACTGGAGAATGAATCAGAGAGTAATGAGACCAAGGTGACAGGTGACTTGAGTAACCTGAGCAAAGGTGGTATTGGTGAAGATGGAACAGGGTGGAGATAACAACATAGCATGGAGGTCCTCAGGGTTAATCCAACAGAAGTGTGACCCAGAGGAGACAAAGTGGTGCTATTCACGAAGGTGGACAGCGTAGGCTTGGGAAGGATGGTAGGGAGACGCACAGTGCAGATTGGGTCAGGTTGAGACGAAGGCTCCAGTCAGAAGTAGTCAGGTGTTTCCTGGCATAAAGGTCATTACAAAGGGGTGTTGATGACACAGAACCTGCCAAACACACGGTACCATGGGAAGAAGTGTAGGCATCTGTAAATCTGTCCCTCTTTTTCAAATTATATTTTTAATTTAAATTTAATAAAGGATATCACTTGTGTCATAGAATATGTTCAAGTCTCCTGAATTTGTTCATTTATTCATTCTTTCCTTCATTCATGACATATTTATTGGGAACTTACTATATGCCAGGCTTTTTACTAAGAGCTGAGAATACAGTGGGAGAGCCAGTGAAGAATAAGGAAGGAGGGATATAGTCTTTGTCCTGGTGAAGTTGAGTGTGAATAAAACCACCCACACAGATGACTGTACAAACACAGGTGCCATAAACACTGAATTTAGAAGTGCACAGTGCTATGATAACCATTAACAAGAGGAAAGGACAAAATCCCAGAAAGGAGTCCCAGAAAGTGATGACAGCCCTGCGTTCTGAAGGAAGATTAGGAGTTAACCTGGAAAAGAAAACACAATGCATGCAAAGACCAAGTAAATAGAGGAAGTCTATCCCATCTGAGAAACTAAAAAAGTCCACAATTCACATGTATTTCATAACACGGCATTTCTCAACTATCATTAAACTCTGCTTCTCTTTTTTAAGTATATCGTTTCTTGAAAGCCAAACCAAAAAATATGGACGTGATTATTCACCGAACCCCATAGTACACACTAGTGAAAGATGTACCATGTTTACATCAAGGTAACACAGTCAGCAGGCTGATCGTCTAATAATGGTGCGATTCACTCATGACAGCCTGCAGCACCTGCAAATCTCAGACTCAATAATAAATGTGTCAGAGCCCAGCGCTCCATCAATTCATTGAAGCAGGGGGTTCCTATGTGCTGGTCGGCCAACATTTTCAGAATGACAGCCTTTTGTGCAACATCTGGGTATCACAGGGTCTTCCTCCCCCATCCCCATCATGTTAGGCAGATGTGAGCTGAAGCTTGACTACTTCACTTATGCTACACCCACCACCGCTCTGTAGACCTCGAAGGCCCTTTTAAACATTGAATCAGGCCTCTGTTGAAGTTTTTGTTTCTGTGCGTGACACCGAGCCCTTAGGTACGTGAGAATATTCAGAGCGCATCCTAACACCATGCAGACTAAGAGATGCTGCAGCAATTCCGACCCCCTCATTTCTCTAGAATGCGGAACTTCCAGAATGGTGGAGTGTGGAGCATAGCTAATCCTCTCCCCCTTAAACAATGACAAAATTGGACAGTATTTTCAAAAACAATCATATCAAGATTCTGGAAATGGATCAAAGGTATACAACAAATTGAGAAGTGTTTATAGTACAAAAACTGCTGAACCTGGGCTAAGCACAGCTGTGGCTCTAACCCAGGCTGCTCCATCTTTTTCCCGTGCCCGGCTCTTCAGTGCAGTCCTACTAGGGCAGGAAAGCCATGAAAATCAGAAGCTTCCCTGCTGAAGGTGGCTCACGTGACTTAGAGAGAGGGGAAAACAGCCAAACCCAAGGGCATCATTGAAAACAATAGCAAATTCAAAGGCAAACAAATGGAAAAGGTTAATTTCTCAGTTAGCATGAGGATTTAACACTGGGTGGAGCAACATACCTGCAAACTAGTCAGAAAATGTAGAGGGAGATCCTGTGACTGTGATGGCTGTGGGGACATGGATAATCTACCACTTCTTCCTGGAAGTCTGGAAGGATGCACACAAGAGCAGGGCTGCATGCACGCTCAAAAGAGACCAGAAGCAACCCATCCCAGCTTTCTGCAGGTCCCTGGGTGAATATGAGGCTTGCGCACACGCTGTGAGGAGATGCACAAGATAGTGGAGGGGAAAATAAAAATCATGGCTGACTTGCAAACTTCCTGATCTTTGAACGCTCTTTCCAACTCAAACAAAGATCCATTGGCAAAGGATCTTTGAGACTTGTTGGCTCAAAGTGCTTGAGTACAACCTTCTAAAGCCATGAGGTTTGCTCTCCTCCACACTTTTTGATTCATTTTATTATTTTTTTTCACTTGCGTCCTGAGTAAATGTCTGGATTATTTATTTTTG